GAGGCCCACCCGGCGGGGCTCCTGATCCAACAAGGGCTACTAGCCAGCCAGCGTCACCTGAGACAGCAACTGGGAGTTCTTTACACAATAAATCACTCCTTCTGGTGCAAACTACACACTTTGATCATCGACGAGATACAGTGAGCAAACCTAACGCAGGAATGGAATCACAGTGTCAAGAAGCAACTTGGAATGACCACGGTTGGCCATGAAAGCAAACGATAACCAATGGGAACTAAGTTGTCACAAAACCCACCTTGGCATGTTTGATCTGAAGTTCCGCGAGGGAAACGAGGCTCTTCTGGAAGTATTTGATCCTGCGAACCTTGAAATCCTCAAGTTCTGCAATGCAAAGGCATGCTACTATCAGTCGGATAGTAAGGAAATCGAAAAAAGCACACGATTTAGTAGAATGTTATAGACCTGTCCCACGGGTTGCCCTGATATACAGTGGATATGCTATCTCATGAAATGCTAATCGAAATTCTTAAATGCATTTTCGATTAGAAAGGACAGGCTCGTAATGGTAATTGTCATGAGGCATAATCCAAAGATTTTTAATTCACAAATGGATTCTGGCCTTGAGACGACCTTTCTTGTAATCACCTGGATAAAGTAGTTTCAGTTAAAAATGATCACTTAAGTAGTAGGCATTTCCCCATGGGGTTTGGACACTGCTACAAGTTTCAATACATTTTATAGCAGACATGGGCAAAATATCATTTTGATGTTTATTTGGTAGCAAATGGGTCTTACTTAACTTTATACTCACAGAAAGGGGGGTTTTCGTTTCTTAAAAAAAGTTTCTCATACTGTAATTTTTTAAGACCATGAAATATTTACACATAAAGCGTCGTATCTGTTCACGTATTACAGCGAAAGTGGTCTACAGCAAAGCCTCATTAGTCCTACATTATGTCTTATTAACAGTATATATATGCACGATTTTTCTTGCAGGGAATATCTATAAATTACGGTTTGAAAACTCCAAATGCAAGTATAACGTCAGGTTGGGTTCAAAAGTATTCGGGAATTGAGAAGTTCTTTTGAAAGGTAAGGGTAACCTTTCGTCGAGTACACAATGGAAGGTGTACTTTGCTCCAAAAAAGTAATTATTGTGCATGCCGTCTAGGATATCGATGTGAATATATAAGGAAGGCGAGAATAAATGGAGAAAATGCAAGCTACCTGAGTGGTAATATGCTTAATGAGTACAGATTTGTCGGCGGTTGAAAAGAAGTTTGTTCGAAAACCGCAAGTAGCTGGAGATTATGCCGCAAGAGCAATCTTTTCTAGCCAAACACTTCAACAGACAGCACATCTACCGTCCCATTTGGGCTTAGCAAAAGTGAGAAAAGAAAGGCATACGCCGATTTCCCCGATCAAGTGAAATCCAGCAGGCATGAAAACCCTCTCGTTGAGCCACACCTTAGGTGACATAAGTCATGGCACATTAAATGAAATGCTGAAAATACAATCTCGACTAGAACGGATCACCAAGGGCTAATAATTACGCAGACCGCATATTACGCAGGAGAAAAGGCGACTTGTTGCAGGAGTGACACCTGTTGACGCTGTCCCTAGAAAAATTGACCAACGGCGGTTCAAACCTTACAAATTCACGCCATGCCCTGGAGGTACTGCAGCGCACATGATGAGTTAACAACCAAGTGGACAGAGATGTGTATAAACGGAAATCACGTGACTGCGAGATGGAGTGACAAAACACATGTTTACTCGTTGATGAACGTTCGAAGATCGCTAACGGAACTCGCGATTTCGAGGCTCGGGTGGTGCACCACTTGGATGACTGGCTGACGACGACTAATAAGCCAAAAATGACCACTTCACTCTCCCTTGTCTTTGCTGACAGAACTATCTGCCTGAACATATTGACACCAGTCCTCAAGGCGACACCATCGAGGACGGCGACAAGAAGTACTCTGCGAGATAAAAAAATAAATAAATATTCTGTGATACCGGAGATTCCATATAGAATCGGAGAACAATTTTGTCGGATCAGGACGACTGCATATACGCAGAAATTGTTTCAGTGGTAGAAAATGTCAATTTCATTAGCAAAGACAAGCTAGAAGCCATAAATCTGTCAAATATGGGTTTAAATATTTAATGAGAACCAAGGTGAACCAATGGTCCCGCTGGCCAAGCCCAGGCGAAATCAAACTAAGGCAGTAGGTGAGTTTTACATCAATGATAGTGAATTTGGTCACCCCATCCCCCTTTGAAGTCCCACTGCGTCACTGTATATTCAGGGTTGGACACCGATATAGCTAG